TGCCATGACAAAGGCATGGCTATCGTGGCCTTGCAAGAGACACGTTTGAAGAAGACCCGATTAGGGCATGATGAATACATCATTGTGACGCATCCTAGTTTGAAAGGAAAGGGGGGGAGTATTGTTAGCACTGCATCGGCGACTTCTTCGGCTGGAGGGGCACTCTGGACCCAAAGAGCTGCTTGCGGAGAAACATATTTCTGTGGTTGCAAGTACTCATGAGTTGCTGATTGTCAGAGTTTGGTATGCCTCTCTTGATGTCTTGCTGGTTGTTGCTCATGCGCCTCATACTGGACGCCCACCTGAAGAGGTTGAGGCCTTCTGGGGAGCCATTGCAACCTCCATTCCATCCTACCTCAGGTCGAAGGACATTTTGGTCTTTGCAGATGCAAATGGACGGATTGGCTCCCGGACTTCTGAAGCGGTGCAGAGCTGCAATGCGGAAGAGGAAAATTCGAATGGGGCTTGTTTCCATGAATTCCTTCAGACATGGCACTTATGGGCTCCTGCGACCTTTGCTGACTTCCATACTGGTCCAGGCTTCACATGGACACAGCCTAAGGGAGGGCAGAGCAGGATTGACTACATTGCTGTGCCCGTCCGGTGGTCTTTCACGTCTATGATGTCATGGACTGACCTTCAGCTGCAGGCGCATTGTCACCTTCATGATCACCATGCGGTATGTTTGGAGTTCCGATGTCATCTGGACGGTCAGGAAGCTTGTCAGCATGTGCAGAGGCCGGTACCACTTCAGCCTTTAGGAGAATCTGCTTGGGCGAGCGCACAGATGGCACAGGCAGTTAGCCACATGCCGCCGATTAAGTGGACTATGGACGTGCATCAACATGCCCATGAGCTGACCAAGCGGTTCTCTTCTGGAGTGCATGCAGTGGTCCCTCGAAGATTGCCCTTCCACCGCAAGCCGCACTTCTCCGCCATCACTCAGAGGGCTATCCTCCACAAGGCACATTTGCGTGGTCGTCTTCTTCGACTACAATATGGACGACGGCTGCTGTTGTTGAAGGCCTGTTTTGTTGCGTGGAGGCACCAGGGTATGGAGATTGAGCCAATGATGAAGGCCATGATTCAGGAGGATAGGCATCTTGCTTGTATGTGTGTGTCTTTGTTCTTGGACTTTCGGCGGGTGCGAAATAGCGCTACGGCATGGCAGCGCCATGACACACAGGTGTTCTTTGATGCCTTAAAAGAGGAATGGCAGCATAGTGACCAGCCGGGTCACACCAAAGAACTCTGGAACTTGGTGAAAAGGCACCTCCCGCGACACAAGACACGTCAGAATGCCCGCCCGGCCGTTCAGCATGAAGAACTCAGGGACCAATGGAGGCCACATTTAGAGAGGTTAGAGGCCGGTTCTTCCGTGCGCTTGGAAACAATCTATCAGGAACTTCTTGGAGCTGCTCCCCCCTGACGAAGATTGTGGGAAGACGTGTGCTCTGGCGGAGATTCCCTCATTGGTGCAGGTGGAGAACTCCTTGAGGGCCACACCTGACCCCAGGTGATGCAATGGGCCACATACACCCAGCCACCAGGGCAACTTGGAGGTTTCGCGCATCAAGAATGTGCCTTCGGAAGTCTCTATATCCAAACCTTCATGCGGCGTGTCTACCGCATGGGAGTGGCTGCTGCGGTGATTTTCATAGATCTCAGAGCGGCTTTTCACTCAGTGGTTCGTGAGCTCATTTTGGGATCTTCCTCAGGCAATAGCACAGATCAGAAAATCTTGGCGGCAACTCTGCAGCAGGAAGGTTTCACGCCTGAAGATGTACAATCGCTCCTGCGGACCACTAGTTTGCTCCCAGATACACTGGTCACTCGCCTGCTGCGGGAGATCCACAGTCGGACTTGGGCTACACTTCATGGCGAGGCAGTTCGCACGACCAGAGGCACTCGTCCCGGTAGCCCATTGGCCGATGCTATGTTTCACTGCCTTATGGGTCCGATTGTGACCAAGTTGGAGGCAACCATTGGTGCTCGCCCCCAACAGGCCATGATGAGAGAAAGGTGTGGCACCATCGCGGCTTCCATCATTTGGGCTGATGATCTGGCAGTACCAGTGCTAGCAGATTCCAATTCCGCTCTCTTGGTGGAGGTTGGTCAGATCTTTTGTACTATCGAGCAGGCCTTCAAGCAACGAGGCATGACTTTGAACATGGCCAAGGGCAAAAGTGAAGCCTTGATGACACCGGCAGGACCTGGGGCGAAGCAAGCTCGTGAAAGTTTGAGGGTGCAACCATGCTTGAAGCTTGACACCTGCAGTCTGGGGACCGGTTCGCACACTCTCATGCTGGGTGCTCAATACAAGCATTTGGGAACCACTCTTTCAGCTGGAGGATTACTTGGACAGGAGATCCATAGGCGGGTCGGTCAAGCTTGGTCGGCTTATCGATCTATGGCCAGGCAGATTTTTGCCAATCCTGCTCTGAAGGATACCACTCGCCTCTTTTTGCTGGAGGCCCTGATCTTCACGAAGCTCTACTATGGCTGTGGCTCCTGGCCTCTTTTGCGGGCGCAAGACATGCGGCGCTTGCAAGTATGCCAGGGCACCATGCTTAGACGCACCCTCAGGCAGAACAAGTTTGAGGGCAACCATGTTTTGACGGATGTGGAGATTCTTGTGCAAGCTCAATGTGTTCCTGTGCGGGTTCGACTTGCCCAACAGCGTTTGTTGCTGGCGGCTAGATTGATCCAACATGGACCTCAGTTTATTTGTGACGAACTGCACAAGGACTTTGCGGAGTTGAATGACGGATGGCGGGCCGGTCTTGCGGAAGACTTGAAATGGCTTGCCTCGGCCATGGATTTGAGTGAATGGGGCACCACTTTTGAGGATCTTCATCCACACTGGCGTCAAGGGCGCCCTGGATGGAAGCGCTTGGTGAAACAAGCCGGCATTAAACACGTCCTGCTCTTGCCCAGGCTTCTTGGTCGAGAATGTGAGCGAGGACAAGAAGAAGAGACACTTCTTGATCTTCTCCACCAGGTACAGTGTCGATGTGCATGTGGCTTGGGCTTCCAGAATAAACGTGCGCTGAGGCTGCACCGCATTCAAAAGCACGACTGGCGCAATGCAGAACACGGCCGAATCCATGGAGCAACGTGCCCTGTTTGCCTACGCCACTTCTGGACGGTCAATAGACTCCAACTTCATTTGCGCTATGTGTCCAGACAAGGAGGTCCCAATCGCTGCGGCGCATGGGTCCGCATGTATGCAGATCTGGAAGCAGGAAGAGAAGATCTGCCTCCGGATCAGTTTACTGCCTTGCCCGGAACCACTCGGCGAGATGCGGTCAGGTTGGTCGGGCCGCAGGTATTGGGAGCTTGTGCCCAAGACCTTCAGTATGTGGAAGATGAATTTATGCGTCTTCGTGAACAATTGCTGCAGGCTGGTGTTTCTTTTCAGATTGATGCAGAATCCCGGCTGGCACTCTTTGAGGCCTTTGTGCGGCAATGTGAGGAACGCCTTTCCCCTGAGGCCATGAAATGTACCTGGCAGGAGTTCCCAAATGGTGAATGGTTGGGCGCTTTTTTTCTTATGGTGCATGCAACGAGGCCTCAGAGATGCTGATCTCCAATGGTGGCGCAACACTGTGGCGGAATGGCCTCTTGGGACCTTGCTACTACGCGCTCATGATCATGCAGTACATGTACACCGACTTCGGGATTTACGTGATCTGCAACCTCTGAGAGCTGCGTACTTAGGTCCAGCCACTAGTGGTGATCAGCTGCATGCTGGCCACCTTGTTCCCTTGCCCTACATTTGGCAGGGAGGGCAGCCGGTCGCCGTGACTTCTCTTTCCATCCGCAAATTGCGGCACTTACAGTGAGAGGTCCGGGGCCCTAATTGAGCTTTTGTCATTCGACCGCTCTCACGCCATAGGCAAATGCCTACAAACGGTTGCGAAATGAAAATGAAAAAATGATTGACATGAGGATCTTGTTCTTGAGAGAAAGCCAGATAGCTTTGGATGGTTGGCACTCAAAAGCGGTGGTTTACTCAGGTCGAGGATGTCGAGGTAGCTTATGGTAGCTTCATAATTGATCATATTTGCGTGTTTGTAATTGGAATTGGGAACCCAAGCCCATGTAGTGGACGAACATGTGCATGTTCAGGGGTTTGTTCGAGCCGTCCACAGTCATGGTGCCAGTGCAGAGCGCCACGGTGCCACGGTGCCAGTGAACCCGTCATCGCCGGTGAACCATGTCATCATGCGTCAATGAAGACACTTTCTGATCTCTATCTCATGCTCCCCTCTCCAGAAAGCTGGCACCGAACCCTAACTGGTTGGCATGAAAGTGTGGATTTTTCGTGTTGGGGGCCTGGGCCTTGTGACAGGGTGTCAAGGAGCCTTGGGGGGCCCATGTCCTTTGGGTGGCAAGTGGAGTCTGCTTGTTGGAGGCTTTCTGGACTGAAAAAATGACTCCACAAAAGTCCCACTAAAACACCACGAAACTTTGGAAGAATCTTTGAAAACAATTGGGTTTTACTTTTGACACCAGCCCCATTTTGGGATTTGGTTAGGGCTTGATTGGGGTTTGAGTGGGGTGAGGTTGGTTTCAATTGGATTTTAATTTCTGGTCCCATGTTGATTTGGTTAGGTTTGTTTGGGCGTTTTGGTGGGTTTAGTGTGGGAAATCATCAGGCCCGTAGATAACCCACAAAAAGCAATCAAACTCCAACATTCACCTCAAATCACCCAAGGCAAACCCACACCACGACCACCCAAAACCTTGGGTACAGTCTTGCTCTTTTCAATTTTGCGACCCTCAGAAAAGAAGAGCGCTGAACATGTTCTCTGGGATTTTGCAAGCTTTCTCAGGGATCTCACAGTGAATCATTGGGACACATTTGGGTTTCCATAGGCACTCTCTTGGGAAACACATGGGCCTAACAAAGACGCCCTTGAGGGCATCTAATGAGTATGGGTCCTGCTTCCGAGAAACCAACACTAGAATACGCATGTTGGAGCAGCTCCGCCCAGGAGAAGGTAAAGGAAAGGGCCGCTCGAAAGGGGAAGGAAGACGACGGGAACAAGAAGATGGACATAGCCCAGAAGGGAAGGGCAAAGGCAGAAAAGGCGCGGACATTTCCAGGTCATTGATAGATATCCGTCCCTACAATCCCTTCTGGGTGGCCCAAAGATCAGGGTGATGTTTTGGGGAGTTAGATGCTTCATCCAAAGACGTGACTCCCTACAAGCTCCACTTACACTCTTGCCAAATTGAAGCAAATCAGAGATCCACGTCATGGTCACTCCGCGGATGGTCTGTTGGTGTTTGCTTTACATCCAAACACAAAACCTGTGTGTTTTCCATGAGCAAATCCGTGGCTTTGCGGCAGCACGGTCAACCACGTCCTGGCCATCGGATCACCACCACACCATGTGGCCTGGGGATTGGCACCGGATTTTTTGGTTCTTTCAAGAACAGGTCATGTTCCTCAACAGGTACCCAGTGTTGTGCCAGAAAAGGAAAGGACAACATTCAGTCGTGAGTCTCGAACCAAAGATCACTGATGGATTGGCCTTGACGGATTTGTATCTAAATTCTGATCCTCTTTAAATTCCAAGGAACAGTACGACATACATCAGCTGTGAAACAGTTTGCTGCCAGCCATTCGGCGGCGATTGCTCAGCTGCCTGCGCTAGGCAAGCATAAGAAGGATGAAGGAAGAGAGAGCAATTCTGGGGACGAGGATCCCGAGGACGGTCGTCGGTCGGTCGAGCGAGAACATCGCGGTGGATGATTACCCATGTCACCTACTGGTAGGGCTGGGAAGAGTACGGAAATCACTGTTTGCAGCATTGGGAGAAAGTATTTGTTTGTCAGACAGTTTCCAAACCTGCAGCGATGCAGTGACCAGGATGCAAGCAATCTGCTGCTCAAAATGTTACAGGGCAAGGCTCAAAAGAGGCGCTTGAGTGGAGAGAAGTCGCCACCCGCATGTTGAAACTTGAGACAGGAGAGGATTATGGAGTGCCCATGCTTTTTCACTACACTCCATCCTTTGCCAACTCCCACTCTCAGAAAGCTCGTTCCATTCTTTCTTCCGTTTTTTTTTCGCGGCAGGTATAGCTATACCAAGGCCGAGTTGCTGCAGATCTCCCGGCTCCCTGCGTCCAACATGAAGCCGGCCAACTTGGATCCCATCGTCGACAAAGACAACAAGGACCGCGTCGCCCAGTCCGCGCCCAGTCCGCGACCGACGACCCAGTGCGGACCGACGAGACCTGTGGAGGGGCGGAGTGAAGCTTGATGAAGGAGAGCTCGAGTGGATGAATAGGAAGGGCACGGGTTGGCCACTGAAAAGACTTGCAATGCCACAAAAGCAAAGATGTACATATTATATATATATATGCAGGTCAATGCTAGTCTACGTCCTACGTCCGTCGCAAGGGGGAGTGGGAGAAAATGCGTGATGTCTTATTTGGTTTGATGGGATCGTGCGGAAGGTGGGAGACACTGCATGGTAGATAGTTCAGACTGACAGGGTATCAGACTTTAAGAGACTACTGCTAGTTTCAGAACCCAAAAGCTGGATCATGCTTCCAAGATTGGCTATATACACATCAATCTGACTTAGGAATTTCAAGCCAAAGGGGCGACACACACACACACACACATCCTACAGCCTTGCTCTCGGTCGCTCCCAACCGTCGCACAGGATTCAGCGCTGCTGATCCGCATCGCCACCAACCGAGAAAAGGAGGACCACGAGGCCAACGGTGAAGACCGGCCACGGCGCAACTCCAAGGCCGCCAGACGAGACCAGTATGTGATGTGCGAGCGGGATCGAGGATGGGTTTGGAGCCTACAGGGACAAGTACGCGGGTAATGTGAACTGTACCCTTTTTCTGCATGCTCTCATAAAGAGACTATAGAAAGTCAGACTAAGAGTTGTAGGTGGATTGTTGCTTACAAACTCTAGCAGTCTAGCATGCTCAACATGGACATGTGTAGCCACAAGGGCCACAACACGTTGCGTCCGCATCGTGTGTGGCACCGCGCTCGTCGTCGTCCCTTCTCCACCTCGCGAGGTCAAGGGTGATGAGGCCCCGGCTGAGGCGGACCGGACGGAGAAAGAAGAGGAGGAGCTGCAGACAGGGACCTCCTATGCGTGGTGAAGAATGAGATTGTATACGGGATTTGGGCGGAATGGACTTGGTCATGGTTAGGCTGGTTAGGTGTTCAACCAATTGAAAAGGGCGGCGTTCTGATGGGGTGTTCCGATGCGAAGAGTTGCAACTCGAGAGCTTCCGGACTCGATGGGTTCCTGAAATGCCCTGAATTTGCCATGATGGGAAATCCATTTTAACTCTGTCCGGAAATCTCATGAAATCTCTGTGGGTTACAAACCATGTGAAACAGTGAACAACGCCACACGTTGGACTCACCTGTTTGATGTTCCTCATTGGGAGTCTATGTTGACCAAATAAGCCATGCCGCCCCTTTCCTTCAACTTGCGAGATGCCGCGAGGAAGATGAAGAGGAGAAGGCGAAGGCCTTTGAGTGCCTCGGGAGGCTTTTGAGAACCGCACAGTGCAACACTATGTGGTATAGTACTGAACTGTCAATGACACAATGATTATTGAATATTGAAGAACGATGCTGAGGAACCTCACAAAGTGGACATCCCCAGATCTCAATTGCCCCCACGGCCTTTCCAGAAAGATTTTCTCCACTCAATTTCCACTTGTACCCCAACTTGCCGCTCTCTTAGGAAGTGGTTGGGCCGCAACATGCCCAAGTTGGAGGCGGCTAAAGCTGCTCCTTGAAGGCAATAGTCCACCCTGAAGACCCACCAAAGCCTTGCTTACAGTAGTACGTAAGAACGGTATTTTTTTGTGCAGAAGTTGATAGCTTTGTATCAGTCTTTGTATCCTATCATCCTCTTCACCAGTTCTCCCCTTCAACAACCTCCAACCTTCAACCCCCCAAAAAGGCGACCCCGCCAAAACCAGGTCAAACCCCCTATGAGTTCCAAGGACCTCAGCGCCAAAGCCGCGGCCGCCGCCAGCGGCACCTCCACCGGGTCCGCGCTCAGCGGCGCGGCGCCCAAGTGGCCGCCGAGCGCCGCAGCCATGCAGGCGGCCATGGCGGCAGCGGGGAAGAGCGGCGATGGGCGGGGATACATGTCCCTGCTGCAGCCGCTTGGGACGAGAAGCCGATTTTTGTGCGTGTTTGGTGTTCGTTTTGGGTGTTTTGGAAAGGGAGGGAAGGTACAGGGGATGAAACAGCCAATGGAAGCAGAGAGGAAGGGAGAGAGTTTGGGGACAGAACTTCAGTGGGTGGGTCGAGAGGTTGGGAAGGGTGGAGGCGAGGAAGATGCGGGAGTGTCATGAAGAAGTTTGGGCGTATGGAGGCACTTCTCTTTTGTGGAGTGTAAAAGCACATGGGTGACAATGGTATTGGTACGGGTCACATGTCAATGTGTACATGTAGTTCTCATGATTTCTCCAAACTCCGGTGGCTGCGATGGGTGGGCATGGCGTAGGAGGGTGTACTGGAGGATGTTTGATTTCATGCGAATCTAAACACAATTATATAGCCGAGCACTGCAAATTTGTGGACGACCTGCACCCCTCAGATGTTCTTAGAAGTTTTTTCGGCATGCACAGACAATATCAACCGGTGTGTTTTCAGATTCCATACGTCGTGTACTATTTTTTTTACAACACCTTCACCTCCACAATGAATACCTTCCCATCTCCCAGGCAGCAGGCACAGCAGGCGGCTGGCGCGGCTGGCGCGGCTGGCGCGGCTGGCGGCAGTTCGGGTGGGAGTGGTAGCCTTTCGCAGGTACATGCAATGCAGGCAGCTGCCTACATGCAGGCCATGACACAAATGCAGATCGCCGCAGCGGCCAGCAGACAGGGTGGGCCGGGCACGGGGCAGATCGAAGATCGGGACAGGAAGATCGGTGAGGGTGTAGGTGTGGGTGTCGAAGTTCAGCTAGGTGGTTCAGCCAGTGGTTTTCTGGGTGGGTAAAGGGCCCAATAGGTTCAAGTTTGTGTGAAGCTTTGCCACGTCATAATATTGGTTCTACTGTGGAGCGTTCAAAAGTGGAAACGAGGATGAAATACGTCATAGGTACGAACATGGAAAGACATAGGTATTCCCTCTAACTTGAGGACAAAATAGGGCGTCCCCCTTTATTTCTATCACAAACCCCACTTTGTGACGAGCCTTCACGAAACACCACAGTGACTTGTGTCCTTCGCGACTTCGATCCAATAAGAGAGAGAGAGAGAGCGAGAGAAGTCGCTTCGGCTGTCGCTTCGTCGGTGGATGGTCGCGACGGTCGCGTGGGGGGATGTTCAACCCAACTCCAAGGGTCCCAGCTCTTGGGGCTTTTCCAGAATTGACAGGCCTGACCATTTCTGACCAGAGGATCTTCTGGGGGTTGTTGAATCGAGGGCGACAAGAACAAAAAGCTTGGCATTGGAGTGATTTGAGAAATAGGTACAGCAAACTAGGCTGCATGAGTCTCAGTCGGCTGCATGTGGTCAAGGCCATCATCTCTTTATTGAAATCCATCATCTCTTCACAGTGTGTGTTCCCTTCTCCGACCAGACGCCTCCAGCCTTCACCAGCAGGTTATGGCAGTCAGAGTTGGAACTACAGCAACCCCTACCTGAACCCGTACATGGCGGGCGCTTATGGCAACACCTATGGCTTGGATCCCTTCACCTTACAACAGCAGGCCGCGGCCACGGCCAACCTCTCCGAGGCCCCTTTGCGAGAAGAACTTGGAAAACCGGGCAGGAAAGAATGATTTGGAAGTCCTTGAACCTCCACACAGTCTGGTTTTGTATGATGCTGTCCCTTTTTTTTGTTTCTTTTCTTGTCGTGGGAGGTGTGGTGTTTGAGAGGTTTTGGGGGGTACAAACATCCTCGTTCAAAAAGGAGGCTTCAGGCGCCTTATTCGCATGTCAGGACTTGGTATAGTTGATCGACGGTTTCACGCGACAGACCCATGTCATCCTGGTTTCGTCCCAGTGTCATCTTGCCAGCTTCACAGTCTTCTTCAAAACCTTGTCATCACTTTTCCATCGAAAGACCCAAGGAACCACACCTCCCAAACCTCCTCTCCCAGCTACACCACCCCTCGCTACAGCCGCCAGGCCATGCAGGCGAAGCTGGGGGCCTTGAACCAACAGGCTCGCAGCATGGCCACGGCCGTGAAGGCGGCCGCCCAGGCGAAGCTCAGCGCCAAGGCCCAAGCAAAGGCCAAGGCGAGGGCGCAAACCCGCGGCCGGGCGCGGCATGTGCGGAGGGCTTTGCGAGCGCACTTGCGGTGGTTCGGTCTGAGTGGAAGACGGAACCACTTAAGTGCGGTGGGAAGGACTTAAGTGAGTAAGAACAAGGTCTTAAGTGGTTAGGACTGCTGGATGGTTGTTTTTGAGTTCAAGAAGTATATGATCTTGGGGAAGTGCATCCAAAGTGAGTAACATAGGCGTGTTCTCCTTTGAGCAGCGTAGAGGATCCGTGATTGGGATGCCGAGGCAAACGCATCTGGGACCGGGAATCCCCTCGAAGAACAACTCGAGGTATGTCAATTTGCTTGTGATGATAGACAGATGTGGGTGTCCAGATCTGTAGTTTCCATCAGAATCATTGACATAGTTAATATCAATTTCAAGATGTTCTCCACGGATTCCATCTCTCCTCCGCGCAGGTCACTGCCAAGGTGCCTTCTCCCAAGACCGCGCCGCCGCCCAAGCCGGGGCCAGGCACCCCCGGCACCGCCGCGGCACCCAAGGCCGCCGTCTCGCCGCTGGCGGCGCCCCTGGCGGCGCCGGCCGGCGCGCCGGCGGTGGCGGGGCTTCTGCCGAAGAGCCCGGCGGTCGCACCCAGCAGTCCATTGATGGAGGCCGCCCCGGTGGCCGCCGTCAGCGGCGGTGCGAAGGCAGAAAGTAAAGGTGCCCCAGGGGCCAATGGAGATGAGGAGGATGAGGCCGGGTGCTCTCAAAGCTGAGAATTCAGCTTCTGAAATTCACCGATACGTTCATGGAATCTTGGATTTTGCACTCAGAACCATGAGTGATGATATACTGTGATATACTGTAGAATGATGTCAATGATGTCGCTTTTTCATGTGCATTGAAGATCCTCAAGGCACGACCATGCACAACCTCTCGTTAAATGCAAGTTGCTCTCGTGCTGCCAAGGATTTCGGCAAGTGACTCTTCCGTAGTGCCGCCCGGGATTTTTCACATCGAATATTGTGCAGCAAATCAATACTTCAGACGCAGTCTGATTGCATGAAAGGGTGAGCCAGATTGACTTTTGCCAACGTTCAGCAGAGATGTCACATGAACTACCATGAACAAACAATAAACTCAGCATTTGCAGTGTCATGTGTCCAAAAAACAGACACTGAACAGCCAGACTTTGTTTTTGGAATACTTTAGTTTTTATCATGCACTTGCCTGGCACTTGTGCTTTGGCACTCGGGTGAGAGGCTTTGTTCGCCCCTTTTGGGCTTCTTCGAAGAGTCTTAGGCTAGACAGTAATCTGCATGCGTGCGCTCCGAGCTGTTCCCAAAGAAAAAGCTTCAATGACTGATTGAGCTACACAACAAACGAAAAGGCATCAAAATCCAAGATCGCAGGTATCTTCAAGGGTCCCACGTATCCAACAAACCCGGGATCTTCAGAACAACTGATCACAAACTATACATCCAAGATCCCAGGAGTGGCATCAAGAGCTGATACAACATGACGCCTTAGCATCTCGCGCAGAAATGACTTTTGTGGTGTTTCCTGGTGTGAAAACGGACATTGTTTCATGCCTGGATCAGGAGTCAGAAGCCGAATTGATCTCTATATATATATAATATATATATATATATACCGTTACAAAGGTTTATTCATGTTTGTTCCATTCGCTTGAGAGTTCAAAGGTTGCATCAATTCCATGAGGCGCATGAGGTGTTTTTACACAATGTTCAGATTGAGGTAGTTGGTTGAGGTCTGTGGAATCAAATCACCAGCTAAGATTGATCAGGGAATGTGGCACTCGCCAAACAGCCGGAGCTGAAAAACTGACTACGCACGCTTAGCTCTGGAGATTCCTAGAGCAGCCTGCAGCGCTGGCATCTCGTGGACGATTTCGTCACCTTCGTTCTCGAACTCGCACTGAAAGGTGAGAAAAGTCACGCTGAGCGTGTAGAGGTTTCAACGATCCTAGTAGGTTGGAGGCCATTGCTGTTATGGTTGGAGGCCATGGCTATTATGGTTGGACTGGAGGCCATTGCTCGTAGGTTGGAGGCCATAGAGGTTTCAAAGAATCCCTCGATCTATAAGGATTGGGGCCTGATCCTGTGGATCAAACAAAACCACCTGAAGATCCTGCACGAGATAGGAATTCTCGCACCATGAGCCCTTGCAACATTCCCATCCAAATGCATGTCACGATGCTTTTGGGCCACTCCTTCCAGCTCCACTTCTGGACACCCGTCCTTTCTTCGGAGAAGCAAGCATGCCAGCTCGCCAGACCCCAAAATACCCCAAACCTCTCGGACCGGTGTTCTTCTTTCGATGTTAAAGAACGCAGCTTTGCCTGGACTTCATAGCTCCAAATCTCAGCAGGTTGTTTCGTTCGAACTTTGCAGGTCTCAACTCCTCGCGCTCCACGCGCTCCGGCAGCAGCTTTGCCGCGGCCCTCTCGGCCGGTCTGGCGAGTGCTGCAGTGGCGGGTGCAGCTGGTGCGCGAAAGACAGGGCTGGGGAGGCTCAGAGGGTGAAAACAGCACGGTGGAGGGATGGGTTGGATCGATGCGAAGCGTTTCTGGCTTTTTTGGAGGATGGGCATCAACACCCTTGGGCATGGCCCCCATATATATATATATATATATATGCCCCCAGGCTTGGAGGTCGACGAAGTTTTGCTTCGGCTGAAGAGTGGCTTGGTGAGCTTTAGCCGAGAGGTTGAAAATATATAATGTAGACTCTTGATTAATAAACCACCCCATATGAAGATGTTTTTCAACTCTCTCACCAACCGACACTACCACCGAAACCTGCCATACAACATGGCAAGGGTTCGTTTGTGGTTGCGACCTGCCCGCAAGTGAGTGCATCCAACTGGGGTGGGGTCATTAATCAAGAGTCTACATTATGTGTATATATATATATGGAAACAGACCAGAGCCATAATTAGCTGGCAGGATCCAACTCATGTGTTGCAGTTCTGGAGGCGGTGATCCAACAGGAAGAGATTCATCATGATTCATCGCCATGTCATGCTTCCAAGCCATCGGTGGGTGAAACTGAAGATCGTCAGGTTTTGAGTTCTCGGCAGTTTGGGGCGGGGTTCAGGCTCAGGTCCAACCCTTACCAATCATCAACGGCTGGAATTCCAGTGCTGAAAGAACACGACCTGCACTGTCGTAAGATGATTTCCAAGGCTGCATTTGTTGCAGCAAAGCCCTCTTGTCAGGTATTCGCAGGATCATCATCCTCTAGCGGCTAGCGTCATGAAACGATGACATGATAATAACTATCATCCCACTGAAATCCTGGCAACTGCTCTTCAATGTTCATTCACACATAGTCAGTTCTTCTGAGCGTTCTTGGTGCAGCAGAACGTAGTGAGACACCTAGAACACTCATTTCATCACAAAGGGTTGTGGGAATGGCTCATTCAGAGCGTGCTCCAGGAGAATCATTGTTCTTCCAACTCCTAAAGCCAAGGTCCCGCTCCGCCAAGCGCGTGGCCTGCCGTGCTGAGAGCACGCGCCGCGAGCCGCAAACCGCGAGGTGATCGCGGTGGGTGGAACGGCTCGCGTTTTTTTTCCACCCCAGGGTGGTTGGGTTGGAGGAAGACCTAATTGATAATAATATATTGAAGACCTGCAATTAACAAAAGGATTAAAACAGGTTTTTTGGTCAAGAGAAGATATCCTGAAGTGCAAGCTTGTTTTAGGGACTCCCATGGTCCGACGCCGACCGACGTACTCCGTGAGCTCCGTGAGGAGCTGAATCAACCAGCTTCGAGTCTGGCGGCCTCTCCTGAGTACACTTATGTAGACTTATTCATGTGCCCTGGCCCATGGGACATGTCATGTCCTTTGCTCCCAGCTGCGCCTCCCCTTTGTGAAAAAAACGAACTTTGACAAGAACAGCTCCTGCACCACATGGGCATCCCGAACCAGATCATCTTCGATTGATCTCAGGTGGTGCATCTTCTAATCCCCCTTCTAAGCTCAGCCGTTTGGTTCGCTTTGGCAGGTCGGCCGTGACGGATCAACTGGTCACTAGCGTGGACCCCTCTTTGGGACCTCAGGGCACGTGCCCCCTGCTGCGCGACGGGCACCGCGGCGACGCGGCGACGCGACGCGACACGTCGGGCGTTTGAAAGGTACAGGTGCTTTTCGGTGCCACGCCATGGAGCAATACAAGGTTTCTGAGGTGTTGGGCCCCGGTTATCTTACAATAACTTGCACCAACCCATTGATATGCACCAAGGCATGTCAATGCATCACGGGATCTATTGTCCATTAAATGGTCTTGGGCAAGAAGGGCTCCCCCCGGCTGCGGTGGCTCAAAGGAGTAACGGGAAGCTGGCTGTCCCAAAGACCAAGGTGGATGACATTTCCACACCCCAAAACAGCAGTCCAGGGCCCACCTGGGGATGATGGATTGGTAATGGATGGATGACTCTTCTGAGACTTGAGTGATCACCGGACCTTTTTGGGGAGCCAAGTCTTGGACTCTCGGAGAGCCGGACACCTCGGAGCCGCCGATGATGTGAGGTACCAGGTCGGCATTGACTTCAAGAACTGGTTGCAATCCGCGCAGGAAGAGATCAAGGCCTCACCGCGCAGATCGCGGCCATTTTGGAACCAACAAAATGGGACTAGAGAGAGATCTTGAGAGAGATGAAGAAACATGAGACAATGTGTGATCAAGACAAGAATTCAAGCCCATCATATGGAAGAATCAATGCCCATGTATTTGTCAAGTCACTGACTCATTCAACGCAGAGTTCGCAATCTAGATCAACGTTTGCCCCACACCTTGGGGACGGTCTTTCGCCACGGTTCGCCACAGAGCTGGACGCCCCGAGTCCTCGGCTCGGAGGTCGATGGCCTCCGTGTGGAAGGTCAGATCCCTGCCTGGCTCCGCGGGCATTTGGCCGTGGCACCCGGCGCGGGGAGCGGAGGTAGATCGGAGGGCGGGTGCTGAAACGCTGGGTTGGAGCGGGCGGGCTCGGTGGGTGCCTGAGTTTGAGTTTGGTCTCACTTGTGGCTTTGGATGAGCGTTAATTATGTGGCAAGGATGGCAGAGGTCTCAGCCGGTTTGCGGCCTCAGGCCAGTTGGCCTCCAGTTGTCCAACTAGTGAGCACCCAACAGAAGAAACCATCAGAAAGCCACTATCACTGTCCACCTACCAGCAGAATCCGTGTTTGTTTGCTTAACAGGTGGACCATTGGTCAAAACTCCTCACACCTGGAGGTCAATTTCTGGGCCGAAAGTGAATCGCTGAAGCCGGTGGCATCCTAGGCTCCAAAGTCCTTGGTGCATGGATGGCTACAAAATGCCACAAAGACCATCTCAGGGTGCAGAATCCGGGCCACTGGAAGAACAGATTCCTCATGATTCCTCCAGTTCTGGGACGGTCTTCTGGTCGGGTCCCATGCAGATCATATTTCATGCGCTCTCAGAACCTCATGCGTGAATTCTGAAGAATTATGAGGGCAGGCTATAGACAGTAAAACAATGCATTTAACATGTTTGCATGAGAAAAGACGATGTTCGACACCCGTCACGAAGGTTCGTCCCTGGGACCAGTATCGGGGACTCTGTCGGGTGTCCACACAGTCTTCTCGATTTCGCCACGCGACCGCGCGAACGATTTCGCCATGGAGAGCGATTCGGCTGCGGAGGACTTGGTGGAGGTGAGGTAGCTAAAAGGGTTTGGAAAGGAGCACCATGGAGCACCCTCAGGGCAGGGCAGCGTGTGGGATGAAGAGGCAACGTGGTAATGATCTTGCTATGTATTGATATAACATGATATAACATAATGTATTGTTACGATAACATTATGTAATAGTTAATATCACTGTTATATATATATGATACATTGTTTTGGGTTCGTCTCAGCATGCAGATCTCCAAGCACATGTATTTTTTTGTTGATCAGGACGACTTTGGACTTCTCATTCTGAGAGAAGCGCTTTACAATCACACTGAACAACTGGAAGAAAGAGCATCAGACCCAGATGCCAATGTATTTTGTCAGGGGTTCGCAACTTTTTCACTTCACTCCGCGTTGCTCGGGCATCAGTGATGTGTGCCCGGGGGACCTTACGGTA